GAGTCTTCGGGAAGAACATATCCGGGCTTTGGAGACAGTCTCGCAGCGCCTTGCATTGGCTTTCCAGCGCAACAAACCCCACGATCCTCGGAACAGCGCAGTCCCGGACTTCCTCCAGGAATTCGAGGACGTCTTCGCAAAGGAGTCCTTTGATGAACTGCCCATGCCGCGTCCGTGGGACCATGCCATTGAGCTACTGGCCGGAGCGGAACCAACCTCTACCAAGTGCTACCCGCTGTCCCCAGCGGAGCAGAAACAGCTGGACGAATTCCTGGAAGAAAATCTCCGGACTGGTCGGATCCGCCCCAGCAAGTCGCCCATGGCTGCCCCGGTGTTCTTTGTTAAGAAGAAGGATGGATCGCTCCGCTTGGTCCAGGACTACCGGAAGCTCAACAACATGACGGTCAAGAATTGGTACCCACTTCCGCTCATCTCGGACTTGGTGGACAAACTCCGGAACACTCGCTACTTCTCCAAGCTTGACGTCCGGTGGGGTTTCAACAATGTCTGGATCAAGGAGGGTGACGAGTGGAAGGCCGCATTTCGGACTACGCGCGGACTCTTCGAACCGTTGGTAATGTTCTTTGGACTGACGAATAGCCCATCCACCTTCCAGACCATGATGAACGACCTCTTCCGGGAGCTCATTACAGAAGGTGTGGTCATTATCTATCTGGATGACATTCTGATCTACACCAAGACGCGCGAAGAGCATCGCCGGGTCCTCAGGCGTGTCCTAGAGATCCTCCAGCGGAACAAGCTCTTCCTCCGAGCGGACAAGTGCGATTTCGAGCAGACCAAGGTGGAGTATCTCGGGGTCGTCATCTCTGAGGGTAAGATCGAGATGGACCCCGTGAAGGTCTCCGGAGTTGCGGACTGGCCGACCCCTCGGACTCGGACTGAACTCCAATCCTTCCTCAGGTTCGTCAACTTCTACCGCCGCTTCATCAAGGACTACTCGCATATTGCCCGGCCTCTCTTCGACCTCACTTGCGCAAAGGAATGGCAGTGGAACGGCTCCGCTCAATCCGCATTTCTTCGGATCAAGGAGCTGATCACTTCGGAACCTGTTCTTGTCTTTCCGAAGGAGGATTGGCCGTACCGGGTTGAAGCGGACTCGTCGGACTACGCTACGGGTGCAGTCTTGTCACAGCTCGATCCGGATGATGGTAAATGGCATCCTGTTGCATTCTACTCTAAAAGTCTACAGGCTGCGGAGCGGAACTACGAAATACACGACAAGGAGATGCTTTCAATCATACGGGCGCTTGAAGAATGGCGGCACTACCTTGAAGGCGCAGAGACTCCATTCGAGATCTGGACGGACCACAAGAACCTGGAGTACTTCATCAAGGCCCAGAAGCTCAACTGTTGTCAAGCCCGCTGGTCGCTATACCTCTCCCGCTTCGACTTCACTCTCCAGCATCGTCCGGGTCAGACTATGGGTAAACCAGATGCTCTCTCGCGACACTCAGATCACTCGGATGGTAAGGATGACAACAAGGATGTAGTGATGCTCAAGCCATCCTACTTTGCTGTCCGTGCCACGGGTGTCACTCTTGAAGGGGAGGAGAAGGATATCCTCACGGCTATCCGGACTGGAGTGCGAGATGCGAAGTTCAAAGACGCAGTGGTGAAGGCGGCAGAGGAGCTGAAGAAGACCCAGGGCAGTCGCAAGACAGTCCGAAGTGCGGAATGGTCCCAATCGGACGGACTCCTGATCTTCCGGGGTAAGATCTATGTTCCGGACTCACCGGACTTGCGTCGGACTATTGTAGCTTAGCACCACAACACCAAGGTCGCAGGACACGCCGGCAGATGGAAGACCCTAGAGCTCGTTTCGCGCAGCTACTGGTGGCCCAACATGTCCCGGTACATCGGATCCTACACCCGCCATTGCGACCTCTGTCTCCGGACGAAGGCCCAAAGGCATCCGCCCATGGGTGAACTCCATCCGCTTCCAATTGCGGATGAACGCTGGGATCATCTGAGTGTCAACTTCATCGTCGAGCTTCCGGAGTCCAATGGATTTGACGCTGTCATGAACGTGGTCGACTCCGTAAGCAAATGTGCCCACTTCATTCCGACTCACACCACAGTGTCTGCCCTCGGATCCGCAAACTTGTACCTGCAGAACGTCTGGAAGCTGCATGGTGTCATATACCAGTCCTCACGCCCCCTTAGGGGTTCCCCCCTACGCCCCTTTCGGATACTCGGACCCTCGGAGCCCCTCAGGCTCCGCCCTCGCGGCCTATGCATGGTGCGCAGCACTTGGATTCACTTGTTACATGTTTCACCTACATGTGTACTTACATACTAAGCCTCACTACATACATGTGTTAGTTAGTATTTATAGTAGCACTAGTAGACATGTATTCCTCACTCTGAATCTTAGTTTCTTCTCCGTCACTTGTCCTTCTAAGTCTTCGCTCCGGGCTCCTCCGCGGAGCCCGCCTCTCACCTTGCTCTCTCCGAAATCGGGACACCGCAGGGCTAGGAGGGCGCAGCATCAAAGCTGAAGCCAAGTCCTGTGTGCTCCGCTCGTCCGCGCGTCCGCGCTCCCGCGCTCCTGTGCGGACGAGTCAGGAGGCCCCTTGACACGGTCCTTAACACATGGACTCCCTCGGTCGGTTGTGTCCGACCAGGGTCCGCAGTTCGTTGCAGAGTTCACCCGGGAAGTCTATCAGATGCTCGGAATCAAGCTGGCCGCCTCCACTGCGTATCACCCTCAGTCCGACGGACAAACAGAACGGACTAATCAGGAACTCGAGTCCTATCTCCGGATCTTCGTTGGAGAGCGCCAGGACGACTGGGCTCGCCTTCTACCTATGGCGGAGTTCGCGTACAACAACCGGGTCCATGCGTCTACTCAGCAATCACCTTTCCTCCTAGATACTGGCCGTCATCCTCGTCTTGGGTTCAAACCTCATCAACCGCCATCTTGGATGGAGTCCGCAAATGAGTTTGTACACTGGATGAAGTCCGCAGTTGACGAAGCTCAGTCTGCATTGGTCAAGGCTCAGGATGACATGAAGCGCTACTACGATCAGCGTCGGACCCCTGCTCCGGTGTTATAGGCGCGTCCAAGGAACCCCTTAGGGGCTACTAGGGGCGCGCCCACGTGCGTTTCCCGACTATGGGCTCGGTCCGCATGTCAGCGCAGCCACGCGGACTTCCCGGATTACGGACTAAGTACATACTCGAGCACATTGTAGTTACTACGACCGAACTCATTACTGTTTTGTGAACGCGTGGACGCCGTGTGTTCCTTAGTATATAGTCCTGTATCGTACATACAGCTACCTTAGTTCAAATATTAGTTCCTTTTCCGCACTCGCACTCTCGCCCCTCTAGTGGGTTCTCCCTCCGTCGCACCCCTTCGCCTCCGCCCGTACCCTCGGTACCCGCGTAGGACTCCTCCCGGAAATACAGGGCACGCAAGAGTGTGGGAGGCGCAGCCAGTAGCTGAAGCCAAGCCCGTACGTCCTCGTTTCCCCCGTTTCCCCCACGCGTCTACGTGGAACCACGCACCCGCAGGTCCGCGTATCCCGAGCCCCCTGCGAGTGTGGCTCGTAACATCCGGAGTACCAACCGGGTGACAAGGTTTGGCTGGACTCGTCGGACATCAACCTTGCCCGACCCTCTCGGAAACTCGGACACGCACGACTCGGTCCTTACAAGGTCGTCCGGAAGGTTGGCAAGGCGGCGTATCAACTCCAGCTCCCCCCGGGCTTATCCCGTCTCCACCCCGTCTTCCCCGTGGTCAAACTCTCTCCCTTCGTCCCGGACCCCATCCCGGGTAGACGCCCTGTCGCTCTGCCACCTCCGCAGCTCATTGACAGAGAAGAAGAGCACGAGGTAGAAGAGGTCCGGAACAGCAGACGGTTTGGTCGGGTCCTGAAGTATCTGGTACGCTGGCGAGGCTATGGCATTGAGCACGACTCCTGGGAGCCCACGAGCAACCTCCAACATGCTGCCCAGAAGGTCAAGGACTTCCATGATCGTCATCCGGACGCAGTGCGCTTACTCCGGACGAGTCCAATGAGTCCGACGACCCCTGCACCGCTCCGGATGACTCCTACAGCACTGGACCAGTCCTGGGAGCGTTGGCGCAGTCGGAAGGCTCCGGGCTCTGTGCAGTCGTACTTCGACATCTTCTCGCAGCAGTCCGAAGTTTCAGGGTTGGTGAATTCATGGCGTGGCAGGCAGGAATCTTCGCGTCGGGTCGCCGCAACCTTGAAGGGGGGGTGATGTAAGGGGACACTCCTATTTCCTCTCCTTTTCTTCATCCCATGGACTCTTACCTACATTTCCTTTGTTCCCCTTTGTTCCTTTTCGCTTCCTTTCCTTTCCACTTCCTTTCCGCCCACTCCTTTCGCATCCGAGCCACGTCCGGTGACTCCGGAGTCTTCCCGCACTTCGGACTCGCTCGGACTCGCTTCGGACACTCCGGACTTGCTCGGACTCGCTTCGGACACTCCGGACTTGCTCGGACTCGCTTCGGACACTTTGGACTCGCTCGGACTCGTCTATACTCTTTGGGGCTCGTCCGGGTTACCTCTATCCTCTTTCCCCACTTCGTTACCCTTCGCCCTTACTTCCCCAAGTCGCTGGCACGACTCCTGTGCATTTACCCTCCACTTCATTATCACATGTTTCCTTGTACCTTGTGATATTCGCTCGGACTTGTGGCTGGTGTACTGTACAGTTATCCTGCATTCCTCTCACGCTACTACAGTATATACTTCGCCTCCTAGCATGGAGAATCCTTATCCTGTTCTCTTTGGATTCTCCCTCTGCTAGGTGAGCAGCCCTCTCATGTATTGTAGTTAGTCTTATTCATTATCTTTGGATTCTCCCTCTGCTAGGCTTGCGCTGTGCGGCCATCTTGAGGTTGCCCTTACAGAGTCAACAGAATCCCATCTTTGTCGTGAGGATTCAAGATCCCAACCATCATTGATTGGTCATCTTCCTAAATCGGCGGTGTCGTATTGGGGAATTCATACATTCGGATGGAGATGTGCCCATGTTTGCCAATCTTCTTCTGTCATGTTGATAATGTCAGGGTTGGGGATATCTTCGTCCTTGTCCTCTTCATCTTCTAATTCATGGTTCTCATCATCCCAACTCCTAAGCAGGATGTGTATGATTTTGAGCCCGACACTCAGCAAATACTTCAGCCCATGTCTTCTCTTCGCCATTCAGAATGTTCAGATTGTCCAATGACCTAAAGGGGTGGTGCAAGATCACTTTGGTCCGACAATAATCCTTGTAGTGATCGTCTTCAGGGTTTGGTGAGTAGCGTGGATAGGTGCGAACCACAACATGAGTTGTATTCTTTCGGCGACGCCATTGAGATTTACTCCATGAGTACGTTCGACACATTTCATGGAGAGATAAGGACTCCATTGACTCGGGTCGCTCCATATATCTATGTCACAAGGGCATTGTGTGTGAGTATTTCTTTCCAGAACATTGGCTCTAGTACTACTAACCATTGAAACAATGACTTCCCAGTTACCATTCTATCACTATCATCTGGATTGTTCCCGCTGTCATCCACAACATCTTCCCCAAGTTCTCGCATGCTACCCTCGGCACCAATGTACACCAGTTGAAATGCGGAAGAGCTACGAACAAGGGGAATGCTTAACAAGAGGTGAGTGGTTTCCTGAGCAGAGTACAACCATTCTCCCAACATCTTGTTAAGCATCTTTTGACATGCAGACTGAGCTGTCGTTTCGGGATCTAAGGTGTTGACTATTTCAGATAACAGTTCTGGGAAGTCTGGTGCCTGCTGCTCGGCCTTAGTCGCATACTTGGCAATGTAGCTGGTAAAATGGTGAGTGCTACGTCTAAAGTCAAGAATATAAGAACTTACTTTATAGCAGCATCCTTACTTAGGACAGGCTTGATGTCGATATTTGCACGCCGCGCCAAGATCATGGCCGGATTGTACAGGTTGAGTAAAGGGTCATTGCGACGGGGCTCAAATCGTACTCAATGTTTGGAATCCAAACCAACGCCTGCATTGTGCCGGCAGGGTAGCGGGAAATCAAAGCGGCAAAAGACTTGGGGGACTGGACAACCTTGCACCTTTCTCTGCACCTGACAATACCCAGGCATGCATTTAGTATGGCGTTCCACCCAGTTCAGAAGGTTTGATAGATCTTCTTTCGTGTTCGGTGCTTCCTCACGGCTGATGTTTTAAGGATGGCGACCTATTAACGGAGTGTTCTCATCGTCCCGCGGGAAGGGGTTGGAAGCAGAGATTTTATGGCTTCAGAACGATGTAAATGTGCGTATCTTTTCATCTTGCTCAGGTGGTATTGGTACACCGGGAGTGTTCAGAACACTGAAATTGATCTCGTCTACATTTGGAGCATCCTTCAGCCATAAGAAGCCATGGACATGGCCACTACCACGGTCTTGCCACTTGTACCGGTACCAGAAGTGGGCGACACCAAGTAATGGAATGAGGAAGTGTTTCATAAAGAGCTGGAGACGTTGGTCGAGGTATGCAGCCGCAATATGAGGGTTGTTATTTAACGCAAGCCTCCGTTGACGACGCACAGCTTGATCATCCCCAGGGGGTACCAGGATTTCTTCGGGCATATGATTGTGGAGGTCCGGCCACTGGAGGTCAGCCGCACTCAAGGTGAAGAAAACACTGGGACTACCCAGAATCTGTATCTTATCCATCAACTCCCTCCGTCGAGCCAACCAAAATGCACGTGTACCCCGGAGCTTTGCACCGTAACGAAGCATACTGTTGACGACCTGTTGATCTCCCTCATTGAGAAGTTCCCTGATACCAGAAGCTTTCAGCTGAGCCGCATCATGTTGCTGTTTTACGAAGACCTTCCCTTGACTTCTAGCTCGTTGACGCCGCAGTGTATTGAATGCGAACCAAGGAAAGCGATGATGGCGGGCAAAATGTCCTCCTCGGAAGCGAAGCAGGTGACCAAAGTATTCACCCAAATCAACTTTTCGAAGGCACGGTTCATAGAAGTCACCTTTGCCGTTGGGAAACAGGGTAGGGAAAGCAAGAGTGATGTAACCTGCTGTCGTTTCATTGATAGGAACCTGTAAGGGGACACTCCTATTTTCTCTCCTTTCCTTCATCCCATGGACTCTTACCTACATTCCCTTCGTTCCCCTTCATTCCTTTTCGCTCCCTTTCCTTTCCACTTCCTTTCCGCCCACTCCTTTCGCATCCGAGCCACATCCGGTGACTCCGGAGTCTTCCCGCACTTCAGACACTTCGGACTCGCTCGGACTCGCTTCGGACACTTCGGACTCGCTCGGACTCGTCTATACTCTTTGGGGCTCGTCCGGGTTACCTCTATCCTCTTTCCCCACTTCGTTACCCTTCGCCCTTACTTCCCCAAGTCACTGGCACGACTCCTGTGCATTTACCCTCCACTTCATTATCACATGTTTCCTTGTACCTTGTGATATTCGCTCGGACTTGTGGCTGGTGTACTGTACAGTTATCCTGCATTCCTCTCACGCTACTACAGTATATACTTCGCCTCCTAGCATGGAGAATCCTTATCCTGTTCTCTTTGGATTCTCCCTCTGCTAGGTGAGCAGCCCTCTCATGTATTGTAGTTAGCCTTATTCATTATCTTTGGATTCTCCCTCTGCTAGGCTCGCGCTGTGCGGCCATCTTGAGGTTGCCCTTACAGAACCGGATTTGTTGCAGGAGCGTTAATCTAGAAGGAGGTGAGTAGAATCCGAAGAATGTGGCTAGAAGATTGCAACTGACAATATTCTGACTATATGGAGCACGAGCATGATCCTGAATGATAGCACTGGCCGCATTCCGAATGGCATCAACCTCAATCTCAAGGGTATTCCCCAGGTTGATGACACCACTGACACCCACAATCTCTTCTCGGAAGTTGCCTTCTTCACCTGAGCCTACATCCGCTGCAGCGTCTGGGCCAACCCGGACGGCTGAGTCGGGGTCCTGACGACCTTCACGGCAGGTGGTAATACGATGCACGACCGAACCATTCTCGGGCAGACTCATCAGGGCATCTTGATCTATCTCCAAGTCGGCGTAAGCAGGATCATGTGCGATCTTGTATTCCAAAGCATCGAGGACTTTCTGCCGGCGAACAGTGAAGTCAATATAATGGGACACGTCAACATCGTCTTGACGAATAATCACCAAGTCTGTGTCTTCAGGTAAGCGAGGCAACTTTGCAGCGATCTCTGTGATATCTTGAGGAAAATTGATGATATGATCTTGATAGCAGAGCTGCCGTCCTTTGGTGTATTGAACCTGCATATATGTCTTGACCCTAGCAATTAGCATATCCTCCATGTCTGTCAACCCCTTCAGACAAGGCGGAACATCATAGGCTACGAGAATTGGAAAGTTGAGCACATTGAGTGAGCGTCACTTGGATCTTCATATTGAGACTCACATGGATGCGTATAGTTTGCAGCCGACCACTTTTTGACGGGATCCCCTTTGTCACGATGGCATGAGGAGCATTCCCCATCAACGACATGTAGGTCAAAGCCCTCTTCCCAGCAACTGTTGCAACCATCATATCGGATGGCAGCCAACTTCTCACTGAGGGATTGAAGCAATTGCGCCTCACAAGCATCAAGCGCACTATCAGACGGTTGGTCGATATCCATCAAATCTCTTCCATCGCCGAACACCGCGTCAAATTCATCGTCAGCACCAGCCTCAACACCATCATCAGCGCCGACATTAAGATAGTCATCTTCATTATTGTCCTCATTGATCCCTCGGTCCACCTGGTGACGTGCACGACATTGACTCAAGGCTGTTAAGTAGTCTCGACAGTTAGTTCGAACAAGGGGGGGTCAGGATTTCGATATCGTAACTAGGGTCGGTGTAGGCCATAAGACCATGGCGAGGCCGACTAACCATCTATTGTGGGACCTATATACCATATATGGTATATTTAATGACATAATCCATCAGAGTCACGTCGCAACCTCAACAGCCTTTCAATCCCTTCATACTTGCCGCTTCATACCACTATCTACCGTGCATTACAGCCGCTTGAGTGAGGATCGCTGGCCCGGGTTGTCGGTACAAGCTGGACATATCCATCTTGGGATGACATAGTCCAAACCGACACAGTCTAGATGGTACTTTGAAGATGGTGAGTTGCATGTTTGCCAATGTACAATATGAACGTACCCATTTCGTTTCACAGCCTGCTTTCTTGCATTCAATCGCGCTCTTCGAGCGGCGCTCATCCTCTTCGACCACCTCACCACATGTACACCATTCCAGGAGAGCTCGAAGATCATTCCGCTTTCTCTTGCGCGCACCCCGACCCAGAATTTCGATTGGCTTTGGAGTGTCCAGGGGAGCACCTGACGATCCACTACATCTTCGGTTGGACCCCAGGTGGAATCAGGTGGGTGGGTGGCATTCACCTGGTGTTCACCTGGACTCACCTGGCATTCAAGTGGCAAAAAGGTGGATTTTGGTTTGGCTGTAATGGCCCAGAAATGCCACTTTTTTACCACTTTTGGCCACTTTTTTACCAGGTGGACACCAGGTGAGCCATACTGGATGAGTGGTATCCATGTGATGTCCATGTGGTATTCACTTGAATTTCCACCTGAACACCACATGAATGCCACCCATATACCAGGTAGACAAAGTGCTAGTATTGAGGTGGGGTTCATCTGGCATTCATGTGGATATCACATGGCAATGTCATGGCCAATATGTTATTTTGTAGTGCTGTTATGATTTTATCTTATTTTATTGTATTTTCTATGATTTTCTATGAATTTTTAGCAATTTATTTGAGTTTCTTTGGAATTTTCTGGTGTAATTTCCGCTTTGGGACAGCCAGAAATGGATTAGCAACAGTTATCTAAAGATAAGTCATTTTCCTCGGACGGGCGCTTATTTGGCGCTTATTGACGATTATTAATATTCTTTTTCTTTTTCTTTTTCTTTTTGTGGACGGGCGCCTATTTTCGGCAATCAGCGCGACGCCACGCGCATGTGACTGCCGTGCCACGCTGGCACACGACACCTCTTCTTCTCAACCACCACCATCCCCAATCCCCCTGCCTTCCCCCCAACAACCCACCATAGCAATATGCCCCCACGCAAGCCCACTTCGACACAGCGCAAGAACAAGGAGGAGGGGACCACAATGTGAGTGTGTCCCCCAGTTTTTTCTGTTTTTTTCACTGACACTGCCCCCACTTGTGTCCCATGCCCTATGCCCACATCCCCCACTTTCACACCACCCACGCCTTTGCCCTTGCCCGGACGCTCGACGCCCCCACGCATCCCCACACCCGTGTTTTCAACGACAACGACGACGATGCCCCCCACACATCTCCACACCCCCCGTTCTCGACGATGCCCCCCACGCACGCCCGCACCCCGTTCTCGACGATGACGCACCCCACGCACCCCGTTCTCGACAACGACGCACCCCGCACCCCGTTCTCGATGATGACACCCCCCACGTATCCACACATCCCCGTTCTCAACGACGACGCATTCCCACACCCCCGTTCTCGATGACGACGCCCCCCCACGCACGACCGCACCCTGTTCTCGACGACGACGCACCCCGCACCCTGTTCTCGACGATGACGCCCCCTGCGTATCCACACACCCCTGTTCTCGACGTCGCCAACAATGATGCACGCCCGCACCCCATTCTCGACGATGCCCCCCACGCACGCCTGCACCCTGTTCTCGATGACGACGCACCCCCACACCCTTACACCTCACCCCTACCCCCTGTCTACCCCTGGCCCCTGGTCATCAACATGTACCCCTGATCCCCCCTTGGCCCCCATCCACAGGGCTTCTACCAAGCCCAGGTCCACCAGGTCTGCAACCAAGGCCATGCAGCGGGAGCTCATGTGAGTTTGTCATTGCCAGTAGTGTACCAGTAGTCAGTAGTCATACATCATGAGTAGTAGATAGAATAAATATAAATAAATCCTTTTAAATCTCAAATAAATCAACAATCAATTACTTGTCTGATAGTGTGGACATCCCTGTAACCAAGAAGAAACAAACCAAGGCTAAGAAGAACAAGAATATGTGAGTTACTGCCTGTATCCCTCTGTTTGCTTATGCTCATTGTCCATAGCACCTCTGCCGACCGTGATGCAGCTGATGAAGAAGCTAATGAGACTACGGTAGAGAATTTGACTGCGTAAGTCTTTGCTTGTCATTACTTGTGATTGTACAACTCATCTTTTTGCACCAGTACTGCTAGGACACTTCAGGAGAGTGGTGCTCCGCTTGCACCACCTGCTCGTCAAGTTGGGACTGGAGTCACCTTGGCTCCAATCACTCCGAGCATCACCACCTCTCGCATCAGGCATGAAGAGCCAGAGGATGTCCCCCAGATCGCCACCAAGGACAAGGGAAAAGGTAGAGACCTTACCAATCTGGGTTCGCTGGATGCAGAGGAGGAGAAAGATGAAGGAGAAGATGCAGAGGCTGAGAAGTCTGATGAAGAGGGTGACGAGGAGAAAGATGCTGATGCTGGTAGCAATGGCGATGAAGATGGTGAGCCGAAGAAGACTGACAATGAGGACGACAATGAGGACAATTCCGCTGAGGTGCCCATGCCTGCTGACTTGTCAGACAATAACGACGACACCATGGAGGTTGACCCCACCACTCCCAAGCGCCCTGCCACCCCCGCCAAACCCACCACTGCTTCCAAGCGCAGAGCCAGCACTTCACCCACCACCGCTCGTCAGATGGGTAAGGGTGTACGCAAGGACATCACCCATGCTAGTGCTTCCTCTCACCGAGCTCCCCCCTCTCCTACATCTGATGACCTTGACGATTTGCAAGGCGCATCCCATACCATGGGTGGCTTTGCTAGAGGCAAGGCCATGGGTGTTGCCTTGAACATGGCTGACTTTGGTGAGTTCTCTTTTTCTCTACAAGTCCAATTCTGACTTGATATCCAGACACCAACGAGGAGTCTGATGCCCCGCCTGTCATGGGCATGCTCCTTGTCTTCAAGGATGGGGCTTCGCCTCTGGAGGGTGCCAGGCCTGTTGGGGTTAAAGTCCCCATCAAGAACACTCTGGGGCCTGTCCTCACTGCTGCTGCCAAGAAGATGGTGGCTCTTACTAGTAAGTTCTTTCTTTTTGCTTCGCGTTTTTTTACTCATTGCTTGTCATCAGACTCTGACATCCTGCTCTGGGATGCAGAGGACCACTTCTGGGAAGCCAAGGGGCCTTATGCCACTGCTGTCAGGGACAATGAGGCTGTCATCTGGGATGACAAGAACAAGCTCAGAATTGGAATTGTATTGTAAGGGTTGAACCCTTTCGTTCCGTGCAGTCCGACCTCTCCTATCCCCTATCGACCCCTCTCCGACTCCTCGGATGTACTCGCACATGACTCGGACGTCACGAACCCGTACCGGACACACGTGATAACAGATCAGACACCGCGGATCATTGTTTCGTATCTTTTGCTTTCAGACTCTAATACTTGGACTATACTAGCACCATCACTCGTTCCTGGTGCCTTTTCGTTTCAGACTTTTCCTTCATCTGACATTTTTCGTAGCTACAAAAGCCTCCTGTACTCGTAGTTAGAAGAATAAGATTTGTTTCCGCCCCACATCGAGTCAGAATCTAAGTCGTCCGAGAAGCTTTCCTCCTCCGTTGTCAGAGTTCGCCGTCATCCGAGTCCGAGTTCGATCCGAAGCCAGTTCTCCTGCCATCCTTATCATTCTCCTGCCGTCCTCATCATACTATCCGAAGCCGAAGTTGTTTGTTCCGCGTCCGAGCGCGTCCGAAGCCATCCAAAGCATCCGAAGTTTCCTAGTCGTTGTTTTCACTCTCGGACTCATCGTTTATCACACTTAGTTCATTCGGGTGTCGCACGGACTTGTCCTGCCAGAGGCGGACCCTCACATTTCATTTGACTATACTACTAGTCTACGTGTATATTCACTACTACAGTATGTAAATTCCAACTTGACTTTTAAAAAATTCTAACTTTGTTACAGCAACCATCTGAGCTTGGTGTCTCCTACCTTCCGCCTCCCTCTCCTTCCATCAACTCCTCGGCTGCCCCCTCTGCAGTCTCCTCCATCACCCCCTCTGCCTCTGTCTCTGTTGCCGGCACCCTTGATATCGCTGTCAACCCTCTCACTGCTGCCTTCCGTGACGAACCCCTCCTTTTGCAAATTGCAACTCGCATGGGGGTACCCTACCACATGACGAACCATGGAGCTGCTTCAGCCCCTGGGCTTCCTTCGCTCAGGTCTATGTATGCTCGGATTCAGCTTGCCAAGGAGGCCAAAGAGAAGTGGGACAGCTTGACAACTCCATGGACAGGAGGTAATGTTTCGGAGAAGACCCTTTGTTCTATCTTCGTTGGCAAGACCAATTTTAACACTTACACCGCCCTCTTTGACCACTCCGTCTTCTTTCCCATCATCATGGACATGTTGCGCAACCCCAAGTACGACGTCACCTCCAGTGCTCACACTATGCTCTGGGGAGCTCGTAAGCCTGGTAAGGACACTTTGGCCAAGGTTCTGGACGAGTTGGAGGCAGAGAAGAAGGCAGAGGAGGCAAAGAAAGCCAGAGATGCAAAGAAGAAGGCTGCAGCTAAGAAGGCTACAAAGTAGGTAGCTATTCTTTGTATTAGTTGAAATGCAACAGTCATTTTACTGGCTCTTTTTCGTCTGAACTTCAATGAATTTCAACAAATACTGACTTGCCCAGTTTCTGTTTACAGGCCTTCTGGATGATCTTATCCCTCTTCCTCTTGCTGGGACTCCTTCCATGTGCTGCTGCAGCCCCTCTGGAAGATTCGTTTCCTGACATCCGGTTTGCTGACTTTGCCAAAGTTGTCAAGCTGACCTTTGGTGAGAACATTACTCTTGCCACAGTTCTGATGCTCCTCTTCAGCATCACCAGCAACACCGACATTCTCAACTTGCATGGACAACAGAAGGCTGTAGATAGTAACAACCAGGTGGTCACCAGCTGGATGGCTGCCTTTGTCCGTGCCATCAAAGACAAGCTTCAGGTTGATGTCTCTAACATCCCTGATGACTCTGATGATGATGCTGGTGCTGGAGACAACAACTCCAACTCTGGATCCTCTGAGGACAACATGGATGCCTCTGATGGCAATTCCATCTCAGGATCTGATGACGACATGAACTCCTCTGGCTCTGGCTCCTCTGGCTCTTCTGACACTTCTGTGAGTGCTGAGACCATCTTCGACACCCTCTTCCTGCCTGGAGACAACCACAAATCGTGTACTGCAAAGAGTCAGACCACCATACTTGGTAAAAAAACTCGACTCTCTCTGTCAATTTCTGGATCTCTACACGCATAATGATAAACACCAACTACGTCGCAAACTCCTGCCCATTTCCACTTCCTCTATCCAGCCTATCATCCTCATCACCCCTCCTGTCATGGGCTGCTCTAGTGCTGGCTGTCATGGCCATGGTCTCACTCAATACCTCCGCGACCGTGATATCTCCAAAGTCACTTTGCTTCGTGGAAGTGAGTGCTTTGAGAAGGTTCCGGTATTGGCTGGTAGATGTCCCAAGTGCTCCACTATGTTCTGGGCAGACCACGAGAGCTTCATTGACAACAACCGACAACTCGCCCTCTATCTTCCCAATGCCAAGTACCTCAAAGTCGGAAAGCAGGTCTGGGTGGATTGCATTGTCTCCAAGGCAATTGTGAATGCCAACTACAGCTTTCATGCCTCAACTGCAGCAATAACGGAGTTCTGGAACTACTCGTTTGTCCAGCCCAGTGGTGCTTCATTCACCCTCACTCACAGACAAGTCTGGAAAGCCTTTGTTGTGGAGTCTATCCGCCTTCTTGCAGGGTTCAGCAACTCCACCATGATCTTCATGGACAATCTGAAGATCAGTGAGCTTGTCGCCGCTGCCTACTTGTACCTTGGAGATGGGGGGATCATCCGCAGCGCAGTTGGGCATTCATGCGATGAGTGCTGTCATGCATTCAAAGATGTGGCTGATGTCATTCCCAACCAGGATGACAATCCCGCTGCTCTTGCTGGTCATGATGAAAATCGTGATGTGCCTGAGTATGCAGGACCTGCTGTGGCAGCAGCTGTTGCAGATGCTGAGGCTATGGATGTTGACAATGTCCCAGCCAATGATGCATCTGAACCTGCTGGAGGTGTTGCACTTCACACAAATGCAGATGTCCGCATGGTTGTCATTGATGGGATTGTCATGGGGCCTCGACATTGTGCTATTGCAGGTTGTGAGGCAGGGCTGCTCAATGCTCAGACTGGAGTGTTCTGTCAAGAGCATGAGGAGGAGACGGAGGACCATTGCCATATGAAGGGGTGCAACAAGAACAAGGTTGGTCGTACTCAGGCATGTGAAGATCACCAGGAGCAGTGGAGGACATTCCGTGGACGCTATGCCAACACCTCACTTCTTGGAGTGCAGCGGATATTGAGGAGAGCTCAGAAGGAGAGGCAGGAGTGGCTACCTCGTGCTGCAGGGGCAGAGGAGCTTGAACATGACAACCTGGAGGAGCAAGAGGTTGAAGAGGTCAGTGGCACCAAGTACAACAACTACTTCTCTGCTCCTAGGTTCTACTGTGTGGAGACCATCTGTGCTCCATGTGGTGTGGTGATTGCCTGGCGCAAGTTTGCCAAGGCTGAAGGGGTGGCCAAGATTCTTCGCTTCCTTGACGATGTCTATGAAGACCTCAACTTCCGACCCAGCTACATTGCTATTGACAAGGGGTGTGCCTTGCTCAAGCACATTGTCAAGCAGCATCACTGGCCTGCTTGGGAACCCACCACTCGGATCATTGTCGACTCCTACCACTACATCAACCATCGTGTCACTGACTACCTCTGTCGGACTTGGTGCAATCCTGCACCTCTAAATGGTGCTGCTCCAAACCTGGTAGTGGTTGATGAAGACAAGGAGGGGAGGCCTTACTACAAGAGGGCCTTCAATACTCAGGTAAGTGATCATACTACTCAGTTGCTTGTACTTGTCTGATTTGCTTGTACCTAGGCTTGTGAGCAACTCAATGCATGGTTGGGTGGGTTTCAGACAGTCCTCAACCGGATGACTGTCAGCAACTTTGACTTCACCATGCATGTATTGCTGTTCCTGCATACCCAACGAGTCATTGCCAGGCAGCAGGAGAAGAAAAATAAGAAGGCAGCAGGAATAGAAGAGGTGGTTGAGGATGAGGAAAGTGATGATGAGGATATTATTGAGTATTAGATAAATGGACTTCACCTGTGGTCCATCTGGCATTCATCTGATATCTACTTGATACTTACATGACTTCCAAGTGGTATCCAGGCGGACACCACATGGTTTTCACATCTTGATGAATGCCAGCTGATACTCAACCGAATACCACTTGGACATCAGATAAACACCACTTTGGACTTGTACTGTTTCACCAAGATGTTCACCTGGTTATCTTCTGGCACTCACCTGATATCCACTCACATGTATGCCACTTGGGAGCCACATGGACACCATATGACTGTCATCCATGACTAGTTACATGGATGTGTTTATGTTTACTGAGACGTCCACCTTATTACCTGGTAATAAGGTGGTATCCAAGTGATCACCACCTATCTAACATCTGAATATCACCTGGAAACCACCCATCTGGGGATCAACTGGTATTCATGTGGCATTCATCTGAATATTGTCTGGGTGCCACATTTAGACCAGATGAACACCAGTTGGTAGTCACATGAATATCAGGTTGTACTTGAATTTTGTCAAAACTCAGTCATATCACACAAACACCACCTGGATACCAAGTGGTAGCTAGATGGTCAATGTATGGTTCTTACACAGTCCACATGAATGCCATGTGGATATCAGATGAACACCATCCAACTGCCATCTAAGACTTGTGTAATGTTGTAAATTGACAATCCACATGGACACCACCTGGTAATCACCTGAACACCACCTGAACTTGTATCTTAGTTACTTTGAACAATATACTCATGTAGTCACTCTTTCACCACCTAGATACCACCTGGTGTTCACATGGACAACATTCAATATCTGAAGTGGTATCCAGGTGGTCACCAGGTGGTAAAAGAGTGGACAAAAATGAATTGAAGTGAACTTGCATGGAAAAAGTGGTGATCAGGTGGCATCCATGTGGTAAAAAACTGATCGGAAATGGGCTGGCTGGGACCACCTGGGGACCACCTGGGGTTCATCTGGAGATGTGGTGGACCGCCAGATATACAAAACTTCGAACCCTCTATTTGGTGTGCATCTGGCCAGAGTATGAGCATGGACCATAGCGGGTGTATTGGACGGTTGTACTCTCCACCGTTGATTCATACTTTATAGAACGATGACGTCAGAAGCGTTTCTATGGACTTAATCAGAAAGTAAGTGGTTTGGTTGAAACGTCTCATTCGTGGGTCTGATAGTCCTAGTTTGACCGCTATATCGCCGTTCTCGGCCTTCATCGACTATTCTCCAGCGTAACTGTCCGCACGTCAGTCGCATCGATTGAGCAACCCAGCCAAAACAAACTGTTGCCTTGTGCCGTCCTCAGCCCAAACGAAGTCTTTGAGTAGTCTCATCAGCTGGGTGATCACCATATCTCAGATCTCAGGCCTCAGGCCTCAGGAGTCAGGTCTGCCGATCATCTTGCGCGACTCAATGTGTTCCGTTGTGCTCCTAATTACTTTGGTGTAGACCGGCTTCCCTCTTTCTTCATGGAACTGCCACAATGTAGGGGACTTGTATATGGAGACACTGCGGTGGCGGACACGGGGAGTCACATGTCAGTATGTGTTCCAACGAATACCGAACACAGAAGGCCTTCGGTTTAGAGGGTGGTTGACGAAGCTGGGCTATGTTGAAAGTGAGGTGGCCGAGGAGAACAACCCATCAACTCGTCGTGTGTCCCTGTGTCCCTTATGAACTTAGGACATTTCAAAATAACTAACCATCTGACAGACTGGTAGAATGATATGGCTCGTTGTGAGCATGAACGACCTAACCCCTCTGCTTGCCGTAGGGGTTATCACCGCATGAGATGTGTTCAGCAGCTCGACGCTATACAGCTTCTAAACCGAATGGAGCGAACAGGGTTGGGTAGTGGCAGACGAGGGGTGAGGGAAACGATATGGTATTATGGTATTATGGACTGCAATACAAACATACGATATGATACGAGCCGAACTAATGCTTGCTGTCCCATTCTATCCTTCTTGATTTCGCCAGTGGTGGTTGGGAAGAAGTTGCTGAGTTTAAAATACCGATATTTAGGTCAGAATTTTAGGCATTTCCCTTACTGTGATAATCTACTAAGCACTCTAATTTGAATCAAATCTAATCGCGCTCGGAAGTAAATGTGGCATGACCAAGGGGGCACGGGGGCTATCTACTTCGGGATACTCGGGCACTGACTTAGTGCACAAGCCAGCTATTTCCCGAATGTGGATAAGTATCTCCAACCTTTGTTCGGACAATTGCCATGCGCGTGAGAATGCCTCATTTTCCCAAAAGTAGACAATCAAAATTACTTGTCTTTGTAGTCGCTGGATTCGAACATTTCGACGCACCCTCGCCTTGTTCAACGTGTCAACGTCTTCACACCAGAAATATGGCAAACAGCCTAATCAGAAGAAACCCTCTCAAATATGTTCAACAGCACACAATTCCAACACCTAATGGTTGGACACCGTCTAGTCTTTGTTTTTCACCTCTAGGAGACAGACTTGCCATCGGAGCGGGATCCACCATTGTATTCCATGAAGCATCCTCTGGACTATATCTTCATCATGCTCCATTTTCAGCGAACATCATGTCAATGCAGTGGCTATGGGATGATTTGTTGTATCTGGGATTCGATGATGGTGAATTGTTAGCAATGAGTCCGAATGACAATGCCAAGGTAGTGTCTCTTTATTTTTACCTTTGGATATATTCACTGCATCTCAATATAGTTGCTGGAAATCAAGGGTTTCATTGTATTGGAAGAAGGGACTCCAGTCACTCAGTTTCATGTGCATCCAGAGAATAAAGGCCTTGTGGCTGCTGGCAGTGGACTGCTACGTGTGTGGTTCAGGCCTAACAGTGTGTCTCATATTAATCCTGGACATTCACTCGCGAGGTGGGCTGAAACAACTTACCAGAGGCCGACACCTGGCATGCTAAAGCAATTCAACGTCCTGCTTTGCGGCCTTCTGCCCAGCGTGAGGCATTCGTCCTTGTTGTTTGGATCGATGAACATATTTTGATGGTTTACCGTCATCATGGTGCCATGTAAGTGAGTACCTCATGTATTTGTTCACGACTTTGAAACCCTTCCAGGCTTTGGGACCCC